TCAACCTATGTCACCCTATGTCTCAGAATTACTTTAGCTTTACATAATTTACAGTCTATGTTAAATAATTGCAAAAGTTTTAGCTAAAAAGATACATGGGTTGTTGAAACATCAGCAAATAAAATAATACCGATTCAGCATTTTTTATCTGAAGAGACAACAAAGCAACTTTGACATAATATCTCGATAAAGATTAGGGGATTTTCCTAAAATTTGGAACTTAATTTGGAAATTAAGATTTTTGCTTGAAGAGTTTAACAATATAACTCTTAGGAATTGTTAGTCTCAAGAAGTGTCTTGTTTATTCATTTTTTTTCAAAATTATTGCAAAATAATCAGTCTTTTGTGACTTTAATCACAGGTTGAAATTACTGATTTTTGGAGCTAAATTGGAGTCCCAAATCACTGGCGAAAATGTTGATTGTATATCATTACTTTATCTTAGGTCTAATGAAAAAAATGTCTCTGTCTCTGTCATGTATTTGATCAAAGTAAGCAGTCAAAAATAAAATTTAGTTGAGTTTTGTAAAAAACTTAAATTTTGTAAAAGATTTTTTATTTGAAACTTCAATATAGTGTTGTTTAATAACTAGTTTAGGACATATTTATAGTTATGGACTTATGAAGGATGCAAATTAAAAGGGTAATTGCCCGCCCCACCTCCCAAGATTTTTTTATTGTGTAAAATAAAATATAGCAAAAGTATTTGCTAAAAAATATTTTTTTTATACTAAAAAGTAGAAAATAAACTTTTTAATTTCAATTTAATAATTCAGTAAAGTAAAGATTAACAGGTATGTTAATCTTTACTTTACTGAATTATTAAATTGAAATTAATCTCGTGCACCTGTGTCAATCTTTAGTTAATTAACTATTAAACTTAAATTAAAAAACTTATAAATATTGACACAGGTGCAAAAGATTGATTTTGAAACATACCTGTAAATTTTTAGTTTACTAATAACCAAATGAAATTAGGATTTTTATGAAACACTCTTAATAATCGTATAACAAGTATTTAAAAAACATGTTGATCAGCTAATTATATATTCTGAATCTTTTTTCTTTTAATGTAAACAATGTGAACTTTTTTCTTGTTTATCTAAGCCATTTATTGCTATGATATTTTTGTTTTCCTACCAAAATGACATTTTTCAAATTCTTAAATATTTAACTAACAAAGAATTTTGGTAAACACCATCATTAGAGATATTTGCCAAATTCTTTAATTTTAGTTAAATATTTATAGATTTTACACTTAACAAATTTACAGATAGCTTTTTATTAAAGCAATAATTAATATTTTATGGCAATTATTCAAGACAGATGGGTATTAAAATTGGCAATGTGTTGCAGTGTGCATTAAAAAAATATTATATTTATAATTTCACAATTTATATGTCATATTGCCAAGTGTTTTACATTAAAACCTGTCTCCTAAAATAACAAATAAAAAAACTACCAAAATTGATAACAAAATATTTTTCATTAAACAATTTCAATTTTAAAATTGACTTGTTAATGCTACACTTTTTTGCAATCTTATTTAATTTAAAAATAATTAACTTCTAAAAGTTAAATACTTATACACTTCTACAAGTTAAATTTTACAGAGTTAATGGTGCTTTATTTAAGAATGAAATTTAAAGAAGTTTTGTTTATCAAGGATTACTCAAGATTTTTTAACTTTGTCAAGTGATAATTTTTTATACTAACACAATATGGCTCTTATTTGTTTTTGATTATGTAGAGAATTAATTAAAAAATTAATTAAAGCTTAAAAACAAACAAATTATGTCTAGAGTGAAATTTTATGTACAAAACAAGATAAATTGCGAATCATACTTAAAAGCTGCTATCAGCGGCTTGCGGTTAAAATTTTAAAAAATCAAAAGCTGCTGTCAGCGGCTTGCGGTTGTGGAGGAGTTAAATAATACACATTAATTTTTTTAACAGAATCTTAATAAGGATAATAATCATTTAATAACAATAATTTTAATAAACAATATAACACAAAAATAACTTATAGCAATAGACAAGCTTAAAATATCTGAAATATTTTATTCATATTTTTAATAAAATAAGATAACTAAAGAAATTTTTGATGAAAAAAAAGAATTTTTGATGAAAAAAAAAACTTCTATATAATAATAGCTAAACAAATTCTTAAGTTTTCATATATAATGAAAAAAAATCTATAATTTAATGAGAACTTTTTTTTAGAATTCTTATCAAAACGAGCTTGAATTATTATAAAGCCTGTAGATTGAGGCATATATTTTAAAGACTATAGTAACTTGCTAACATGGAGACAGCGACCTTCGAGTAAAACAACAAAGTTAGTTTTTCTTGGTATATGTTTATTATTTACTATACTCCAAAACTCAGCCCAAACATTTTTTTTATGATTTTTTTTAATATGAACACAATTTGTTTCTGCACTTTGGGATCCCTTTAATGGAACAGATTTTTTTTTTCCAAAGAATAAAAATTTTTAATATAAAATATAAAAGTAAAATAACATAAAGAAAAAAATATTTCATTTGCTTAGCCAACCTTGTCCTCCCAATTTTGTAGTATACTTATATATTATTAAACAAATTTATATTGTAAGTTTTATTTCACAATTAAATTTCCAAAAAAAAGTTATTAAAAATATTTAAAAAAAGAATACAAGCCAATTTTAAAAATGAAATAACTTAAAAATTTATTAATAAAAAAATGATTCCTTTAAAAAACAAACCTGTAAGCAATTTAGAAGCTGATTTTTTAAAAAATAGTTTTTTAGTGCTGAAGGACCACAAAGAAAGTTGATGACGAGTTTAAGTAAAAAAAAAGTTTATAAAAATGAATTACTAGTGATAATTTATTTCTAAGATAAAATTAAGAAACATAATGAAAAAAAAAAAAATGTTTTTGAGTTTTCAAATTGTTTTGTTCGTAGTTCAAACTTAGAAAATTATTTTTTTGCATTTGAATTCATTTTCATTATTTATTTTAAATTGCTAAATGCCAAATATTTTAGAATATTTTAAAATAGTCTTAAGTGTTAGGAATAAACATGGTGTTCTGAAAGTTTGAATCTAGATTGTCATATAGCATATGCAAGAGTTTTATTATTTAATTGTTCCTTCATCTTTATTATTATCTAGTGATATTAAAAACAATAAATAATTTGAACATAAACAAATGTGATATTAGAAAACCTCTTAACATTCATTGCTACAAAACTTTCAAAACTACAAAACTCTTAATATTTATTGCTACAAAATTGGATTATCTAGAAAAGAAGATTTTATTTAGCTTAAATATCTTTCTTCTGAACAGCAAGAAAAAATAATTTGGCGAGCAAATTTAAAAAAAAACTTAAATCAATCAAAATTGCTGTTGTCATGAGCAATTCTATGAAAAATATTTTGAGAGAAAATTATAAAGTGTCGAATTCTTTTGGAACACGCAAGGAAAGTAAAAAAAGTGCTATATTAAGATATAGTTAATATGTTAATTGAAAGAAATATATTTTATTGAGATTCTTGATTCAATATTAAGTTATTTTTAAAACTTATTAAATTTTTTTTTATTGCAATGTAAAGATTTCTCTATACTCAGCAATAGTTTTACAAAAAAAAAAATGTCAGGTTGAAAGTTCTGCAGCAAATGTTATAAAAAAGCAGTAAAAACTGATGAAGATTTTAGTTCACAGGGGGAATGGGAATCAAAGAGAACAAGTATGGGAATCAAAGAGAATAAGTTTGATACCTCTATAGAATTGCTTGAGATTTCACCAGCCAAATTGAAAATTGTTCTAAAGCACTGCAAAGTACCTGCAGCAAAACAAAAGTTTTGCAACACTATAGGCAGAGTTGCAAAAATGGTGTCACTAGCATATGATATGGATAAGGCTTCTTTAACTGCAGAAACAAACAGCATCTGCAGAAACAAACATTTCTAACAATAAATTAAAGACAGATCATGATCTAGAAATTTTAATGTATGAAATCAAAAAGAAAATTTCTGTAAGTGACTCTACATAAAATTCACGCTTGCACCAGAATTATAGAGATAACAAGTTACTTTGAAGTGTCTGAGTATCTTGTTTAAAGCTCAAGACATGTTAAAAAATAGCTAGGAATCCTATTACTGCCAGAAAAAAAAATTGGAAACCCTCTTTCCCCAGAAACAATTTAGTTAGTAATTAACTTTTATCAAAACGATGAGTTTTCAAGAACTATGCCAGGGAAAAAAGACTTGGTTAGCGTTAAAAAAAAGGGGGGAGGAAAGAGGTTGGGGAGAAGTTACACCTCCATGTTACAGCATGCCCATGACTACTGATATGTCCTAAACATGACTACTGATATGTTCTAAACTAGTTAATAAATAACATAATATTAAAGTTTTAATTAAAAAAATTGTTTTAAAAAGCATTTTATTTTCCTTGTTACAAAATTTAAAATTTTCAAAAATTGGAAAATATGTTATTTTTGAGTGCTTACTTTGATCAAATATTAAGGAGACAATTCATGAATTTTTTTCAGTAAACCTAGTATAAAATAACAGAATCAACATTTTTGACATTGATTTTGGATGACAACTTTCCAAAAACCAATATCTTACAAGTCAATAATTTTGAATAAAACTCATATGGAATGACTCTATAGTAAAAAAAAATATAATAGAATATAGGTAATAAATGCAATAGAAATAATAAACTCTTAATTAAAAATCACTTAATCAATGTATAAAGTTTAATAGAAATTGAATGAAAAACACGATAATAAAGGATATGTAGATAAAATTTCAAGGCAAAAATAAAACTTTAAAACTCAAATACATATAAACCTAAATGTTCAAATTCAGTCACTGAACACAGGGTTAAAATGTGTGCGTTTGTGTGTTTGTGTGTGTGTGTGTGTGTGTGTGTGTGTATGTGTGTGCGTGTATGTGTGTGTGTGTGTGTATGTGTGTATTAATGCAAGTGAAGTAAAAAAAATTATAAATACCTGGAACTAAATGAATCAACAATATGAGGTGTCAATACTTGTGTTGTTTTGTTAGGAATAAGGGCAGGTTTTACTTTTGACTGAGCTAAAAACACATAAAAAGAAAAATTCATAACAAAATAAAAGTATTGAAGTAATTTTGGTTGCTAAACTTAAGTGTAAGTATAGGTATTTTTCAAATTTTTTCTCCTAGAAATGCTTTAAAATGCAATCTAGACTTTCTTTTAAAATCTAATGATCAAAAAGGCATAATAATGCAACAGAATCTCTCTAATTCGAATTTTATGGGGAAAAATAAAAGTTCGAATTAGAGAGATTTTCGAATTATAGAAAGTTGAATTTTTTTCAAATATTCTTGTCAAAGTAACAAATAAAAATCAAACAAACAAACAAATAACAAACAAATACTAATTCTTAGGCCTAAATGCAATAAGTATTATGTGTTTTAAACTTTTACATATTGGAAAAAAAAAAGCCAGTAATAGTAGATTTTTATTTACAAGCTTGTAAATTCATTTTAATGACAGGATTTATATCTTTAAGAGCTTTTGTCAAATTACCCCCAAAGTTAGAATAAAGAATGTAACTTTCAAGTACAGTAATAGCATGCACTGCCTCATTCAAACTTGGTTATGTAGCATCGTCAGAAACATCAACACGCTCGTCATCGGATTCCTCTTCAGTTTCAATAGCATCATGTCCAGAAACTTCTGCAATTCTGCAACAATCTGATGATATGTTGGCAATGTAAACATTAAAATCTATGTCTACTAACTCATTGGCCATTTCTGCATGTTGCATGTTAGGATGTTAGGATATTAGCATGTTAGAATAGGCAGAACAATTATCTATAATTAAAGCAATATTTCTTTTCTGAAAACCAATCTTCAGATCAAATTCTTTAACCCATTCCTCAAATAATTCTGCCAACATCCAACTTTTTGATTGAGCCCAATAACAACAAGGACTATTTTTCACACTATTGAAACCAGTAAAGATGTTTTCTAGCAGTAAAGATGTTTCCTAGCAGTAAAAATATTTCCTAGCAGTAAAGATGTTTGTAGTGTTTAAGAGGTACTAAGGTTAATACAATTGAAACAAAACATCAACAACATTGAAACAAAAACCTTTTATTCCAAATGAGTTAATTATATTTTAAAGCATTATAAAGTATTTTCTAAATCAAAATTATAACTTTCTGCATATTTGAACTGTTTAATCTTGAATCAAATCAACCCTTTTCCCATAGAACATGGGTGGATTCGATTCAAGATTTCAGGTTACAGAACAAGTAGTGAAGAAGATTAAGAAATCTTATGAAAGCTACAAGAAACTGTACAATCTAAGCCCTCCCAACTTTTTAATTGTCAGTTAATTTAGTTATCTTATCTAAATTTTTATATTTTTTATGAAGGTATCTTTATAAAAGCTTTTCAACCATTTTTAATCATTTTCATGAATTTCGAAGGTAGTTTATACCTCGAAAATGCTGATATTTTCATGCAATTCATGAGCCAAGTCAAACCACGCTTTAATAGCAAATCATTATTTTGGTCTATAAAATGAAAACAGCAGTTGTATCAATAAAACAATTATAACAAAAACTGTTGGTATTACATAGTAGAACATTTATGTAACTATCAACTAGAATTCGTTAAACTCAATAAGACAGTATGGACTTTGTCATCTATCATTGTAACTTGAAGTTTACTTAAATAGACTTGCCATCAGATAATTGAATGCAAGATTAAAGATCTCATCTTTCACTTCAATCTTATCTTTAGGTTTCCATCCTTTGAAATTAATTGGACGCCAAAAGGTGACACTGTATTAAAAGTTTTATTTTAATTATATCTTTTGGCTTTATTTTGATTATTGTAAGCAAATCTATTATACTTTTTAAATTTAAACTTTTCTCATAACTTTCATAACCATCTCAGATCAAGTCTCTGACAAGCTCAGACAATTTCCCATAATTAGCTAACCCGTGCTATGGATTTTTGTTTCATGATTTGGTTTTTAATTTTTGTGGTGTAACAGGTGTTAACAATGTGAAAAAACTGTCATAAAACCTTTTTAGTTTATTGTTTGGAAAAGTTGTAAAATGTTTATCCCTTTGTTATATTTGTAATGCAAATAATTCGGAAATCAGTCTAACAGTGAGTCACTTTAGTTGTATTAAGAAGAATTAGAAAAATTAACTTTCTTATTATAAAAGGAAATGCAGAGCTTAGTTGTCAAATCCTGTACCAATCTGCTTAGAATGCTGTACCCATCTGCTAACAATCCTGTACCCATCTGCTAACAAATTTTTTAGATTGTGTTCAATATATATATTTTCAATAGAAATTGTTAAGAACATTTTTTATCTTAAGCCATAATTTTTTAAATTATAAAACAGTAGAAAATAACAAATAAACAACCTGGCTTTGACTTTACATTTGAAATCCCTGCTACTTGTAAAACATCTGAAACATCACTTTCCTAAACAGAAAATGAAGCTATAAATATGCATAGATAAGTATTTGACTTATGAAAATCCCAGAAATTTTTTTTCTATGATAATCCCTGAAAATCCCAGAAAATTATTTTATTAAAAATTGATTGCATTTAACTGACAAACGGAATTTAGATTATTTTAAAACGGAATTTAGATTATTTAACTTTTTACAAAAAGGAATTTCTAATATTCAAAAAAGTTTGAATGAATTAAAAAGCAAAAAAAAAAAAAAAGAAAAAAAATTGTTAAGAAAATTGATCTCGTGAAAATCTCAATTATAGAAAACATATTTGTTTAAATGCATAAGTTGTCGTATGTAAAATTTTATGTAAAAATATATTAACTTTTTTCAAATCAATATCAAAAAACATCCAGAAATTTCTGGAGAAATTAAAGGTGTTTCAAGTGAATTTCCGGAAAAAACTCATCTATGAATATGACAGTAATCATTTAGTTAAATTTAATTAGAAAATATAATTAGAAAATATAATTAGAAAATATAATTAGAAAATATAAATAGAAAATGTAGCTATTAATATGACAGTAATCATCTAGTTAAATTTAATTAATATCCGCTACCCTAACCCAGTATTACAAAGTGCTTAAGTTTATTGCATATAAATATTATAAAATAAATTCTGTTGTGTAACAAATTAAAATAACATACTTTTTCTAACTAAACATGACATAACTTAGTGACTTAATGACTTTTATTAATTAGTGGCTAGAGCAGGTAAAACAACCTCTACAATGTGTTTTTGGGAGAGAAAACCTCATTAAAAGTCTAATTATGGCAGAAACAGTTAAAGGATACAGCTATGATATATGTATAAATATGCGGATATGAAAGGATATGACAGAAAGATTCTATACAAATAAAAGATTTAAAGAATTAGAGAATGAAATCAGAAGTAAGAAAATGGCAAGCGCATTATGGGTACCATATTTATATATATATATATATATATATATATATATATATATATATATATATATATATATATATATATATATATATATATATATATATATATATATATATATATATATATATAAAACTATTTATATGGTTTCCATGAGAGGTCAGTAGTGAATGATAATCCAAGAAGAAATGAAGCAGAGGACTAAAAATATTGCAATTCATGAATATATTGAAATATCAAAAATACTTATTATCAGTAAACAACTTTTGTTTTGAATTTTACTCACCAGCCAATACAAGCCTAAAAGCTGTCACAAATTAAAGACCAGACTCAAGCTGCTGTCACAAATAAAAGACCAGACTCTAGATCAACTGTCTGTTTTAAACAATCAAAAAGTGATGACAAGACCAGAGTATCTAACTGTGTCATTAACAAATGAACTTTGAAGGTAAGATTATCAAAAAGATCATATATTCCTATATAAAATATAGGAATATATGATCATATATTCCTATATGAAATCAATATATGAGATGAATTTATGAGATGAATGTATGAGATGAATGTATGAGATAAATGTATGAGATCGATGTATGAGATCAATATATGAGATCAATGTATGAGAGAAAAGACTTGTCTTTGTTAATGACACTGTAAAAAAATTTTCAAATCTCAAGAAAAGAACTTCTGAGAGAAAATACAAAATTTAGTAACCTAATAATGGATCTTAGCATCAGGCCAGTGATGGATCCAGGGGGAGGAATGGAGGGATGATCCTCAACCCCACCCCACTAGAATCTGAAAGTCCTAAAATATCTTAGGAATGAAGGACTTTTATTTTTTATGAGACAAAAATGTGATACAAAATACAAAAATATTTCAACATCCTCCTACCCCCCGCCCTATCCCCACCAAAAATTGAAGCCCTAAAGTGATTTTAAATATGTTTAAATTTGTTAGAGTTTTTAGAGATATATTAAAAAAAACACAATATTTTAATAAATGATACACAATTCCCTTTGGACAATCATTAACAATTGCAACATTGTGACTTCCTTGGAGAAAAATTCCAACACACAAAGGAAATTGGGATTGAAGGTAGTATCCCAATTTCCTTCAATTCCCCCAATTACAGCATAAATTTCCATAATTGAGGCTGTAGCATTAAACTAAGGAACAGTTGATGCAAGAGAAAACAAAGTTTTACACTATATAAAATATATTGTATACATAAATATATGTGAGACTATATCACTATATAATTATTTTGTAATATTTAATTCATTTAACTAATCAAGTCAAAGTTACAAACATAAAAAATATTTTCTTTTAAATAACATGAATAAATTTTTGTTTTGTTTTAATTAATACAAATTTATCAAATTTAAAATAAATAAAAATTAAACCAATAAACAATACTTAAGGTAAATAAATAAACTTCACATTCACTTTTAGAATAATTTTTTTTAACTTAATTTACTATATTTAGAAAAAGAAATGATGATGTCATCAAGAAGATTTTATAAAAGTGAAGCTCAAAAGCATAAGAAAAAAAAAAGGAAAAAGAATGTGAAGCCAAAAAATCCAAAACTTAATGGATTTATTGTCAAAGTGGAAGATGCAGAGTCTATAGAAAACTCTGTTGAAAGAGAACAATCAGCTTATGAAAATGTTTTTCAAGATTCTATACAGCCAAAAGCTCCTGAATCATTAGTTAAAGGTTGTGATTTGAGCATTAATAGATTACATTAGCTTATGGGTCACTCATTCCAATTACAACATTTTATTTTGGATTTTTTTAAGAATTTCAAGAAGCAACTTTACAATAATCACAATCCTATCACAAGAGTCAAAACAACTTTACAAAAATTACAAATATTTTTTTCAAAATTGATTTTTACATGCCAAATAGCTAACGGTGAAAGGTACAACCGTGAGTGGTTGATAAATTCTCAGCAAAAGGAAAAATTTTCTGTCTTTAGCGTAAATTTTTGAAGATTTCTAACTTTCCTCTTGCTAAAACCAGATTAAAAAACATTAAAAATTTCAGGAGCTGATGCTTGTTTAGAAAAAATTATTATTGGTATCATTTAGCAAATTCAAAATTCTTGAAAACAATTCATAACATATGGTCAAACCACTTTTAAAAACAGATGAAATGAGAGATTATATCCAGAAAGTGTTATGAAAATATTTCAAGATCAGCTAAACAGCGGAGCTAATACTCAGAATATTTTATCAAAAATGGAAGAGCTTGAGTTTGCTATTCAAACAGTTTTTTGGAATACAATTCTAGAAAGTACGAACTCAGTATCAGAAGATTTACAAAATTCAAAAATAAGATTAGATACATTTTATTTATTTTTTTCTTCACTTGCAGACTATATCCAGACTCCAAAAAATTATTACTTCCTGGTACAGATTTTTTATTACAAAAGACATCCAAGAATGTAATTTTTTTTGATGATCCCAAACTTGAAGAATGTGTTACGAACACATTCTTTAAGCTTGGGGTCATCAAAAAAAAAAAAAGAAAAACTTAAAAATATTATTTTATTAATGTTATAGACATAATTCAGAAAGTTAAAAAAAAAATGTTTATGAAGAATTTAACAAAACAAATTGTATTTTTTTGATTGATCTAACAAAACCTTTGGATTTTTGATTGATCTAACAAAACCTTTAGATTTTTGATTGATCAAACAAAACCTTTGGATTTTTGATCTAACATGTTCTTTTTGAAAAGATTCAAAAACTTTAGAAACATGTTGAAGAAATTGTTCAACAATATCAAGATATTGACATGTTTGATAAAGTTGTACAATCTATAAAATCATAAGACAAATTTAATAATCAGATGTAACACATTTGTTTATATACAACCTTATCAAAGAAATTTATATTATTATAATATGGAAATTGCATTCCCAAATCTTGAGATAATTTTGAGAATCTTTTAATGTTTTATTACAAAAGACATCCAAGAATGTAATTTTTTTTGATGATCCCAAACTTGAAGAATGTGTTACGAACACATTCTTCAAGTTTGGGATCACTATTATAAATTAAATTTTAATGTTTTATTATAATCCAGAAAAAAAAGTTTTTCAAAACTTAAATTAACCAAAATTCTTTCAAGGTCAACTATGAACCAAGAAACTTTAAACAACTTGTCAATATTATTAAGTAATGCAAATTGACTTATTGATATAGGTTCTCTAATTGATGAACTTTCTCAAGAAAAGCATTGAAATGAATTTATATAAACGTAATTCATTAACATTTATGTTCTTAGTTATAATTTATTTTTTAGTTTTAGTCTTATCATTTTAGGTTTCATAGAGAAAATATTTATTATATTATATATGTAAGAAATTAAAAAGTACAATGTATTTAAAAAAGTTAATAATAAAATATATTGTAGTTTTATGCTTAAATTCATTCACCTGGACAAACAAAAAAAGTGTCAGAGAAAAATATTGCAAAAACTTTGTTCTTAAGCAAATCTTTAAAAAAACTTATCCTGAAAATTATTTAAATTTGAATAAGTTTTTGATTGTGACAACAAAAATAAAGGTGATCAAAAAATTGTGCAAATTATTTTTTAGGGCCTCAAAAATGGATTTGGTCCGGGGCCTCCGGGGGGCCTCCGGGGATGTAAATCTAGCCCACCTCTTTGTTATATAGTAACTAAAAATTCTTGTTTTCAATGAAATAATCAACAAATAATAACCACAATTATCACTACTATTTCTTAATTTCATTTTTTATTAAAAAAATATATTATAATATACCTGACTTTTAGTTGACCTAGCAGATAAATTTCCATTCTTTCTCCCCGAATTTAATTTCTGCAAAGAGCTTGCAGAGTTTGTTCTTTTTAATGATGATGACATATGTACTATTCTATATTTATAGCAAAATAACCATGCAATCCAAATAAGGATGAAATCACTAGTTCCAGGCTCATAAACCTACAAATCATAAACTGCATGCATAAAAAGAGAAACAGTGAAAAAAAATTTTGATTATATAAAATAATTAATTTTAACTTGAAACAATTAATTTGAACTTTAAATTTGAAATTTGTTGTATACCATTAAGTCAATATACCTTCAAATTTAAAAAGCTTAAGTATATATAAGTTTAAAACAGTAAAATATTAAAATTAAAAATCAGGCATCTTTTTATGACAGTTATGTTATACCTTTATATTGTATAATGCAAAAATCTTCAAAAAAGTATTTTAAGGATCTTTGAAGTATATACTTTTAGTATTTTAAGTATTCAGTCGACTCTCGATATCTCGAAGACTAAGGGGACCGGAAAAAAAGTTTGAGATATCGAGAGTTCGAGACATCAAGAAAAGGGTTGAAAATAAATAAAATTGCTTGACTTTCATTAAAACAAGTTATTTTTCTGAAAAAAATCATTAACAACAAAAACTACAACTTTTGGAAAAAATCTGTTATCTGATATTGCTTTAAATTATCCATCTTTTCCATCTTCATTAAACCCTCAAGTTTTAGTGCTAGGGATTGTATTTCATTTCCGTATTTTGAGCTGTATAGCGAAGCATTTTGAATCGTTTCAAAAGCAATTTCTAATTGAATATCAGATGGGCGTGGCGGGGCTTTGACGTAAAAAGCTTCGTCAACGCTATCTTCAACTTCAATATCGTCGTTTTGAAAATTAGAGTCTAAAATCTGAGCAATGATTTCAGCATAAGTAGCAAGTGAACCGGTGGTTACTACATCGCAATCTAAACCAATGTAAGATTCCGTTGAGAGATCTTCTTGGAGGGCACGAGGATCTAACTCTCGCAAACGGTTAAGTTCTTCTGTCAAAAATTTAAAAGGATGATCATCATCAGCTTCTTCAATACTCTTGTTTGTTTTGCTGACACTAGCTTTTTTAAGCAGTTGATGACAGTCTCCTTTGACACAGCATTCCACGAAGAAACAAGATCTTTCATCGCTTGAAGTATAGAAATTTTTGGCATGAGTTCGTTATTATCGACAGCCTTGATACACAAACGCACAATTTTGTGACGATAATGAGCTTTAAGACTTCGTATTACGCCTTGATCCATGGGCTGAAGGACAGATGTGGTGTTAGGAGGGAAAAATATTAGATTGATATTGCTTAGCCCTTCAATGTGTGGGTGGGCAGAACAGTTATCCACCAGGAGTGCTACTTTCCTGTCTTGAGCACAAAAAAATGAGTCAAGTTTCATTACCCATTCTGTAAAAAGGTCTCCGGTCATCCAACTTTTTAGCTGATTTTTATATGTGCAAGGAAGTTGTTTAATGTGCTTAAAACAACGTGGGTTTTTAGATTTTCCAATAACAAACATAGGTAATTTTTCTCCCGTTGCACTCCCTTCTGCTATACCTGTCAGTCTGACTTTACTATTTTTTCCCCCAAAACATTTTTCTTGTGATAAATGGTATGTTTTGTTTGGTAGGCACTGGTAAAATAGTCCAAACTCATCGGCATTGAAAATGTTTTCAAGTTTGTAATTCAAAAGCAATGTTGGAAGTGTAGTTTCATTCCACGAAGCAGTCATATTATTCGTCACTTTCGCCTGAGATTATTTTAAAGCTGATGCCGTTCCTAAAAATAGGAACAGAATAATTGAACTTTAATTACACGTTTAAAAAACTAAATAAATTAAATATAAACAGATACATGTTATTTGTTTATATTAAAATTGAACAAGATTTGACAAAATTTAACTGAACTTTCTTTCCAATTATGAAACCAACAATCAGATGCTTTAAAATCCAACTCTCCGAATGCTTCTGCGAATTTTTGTGCCTTTTTTTTTAGTATGGTACCATCAATTATTACTTGTTGACTTCTTTTTGCAATGAACCACGTGTATATGGGCTTGTCTACATTTTTGAAATTACCACTACGAAGTTTCTTCCGTTTAGATTTTGTGCCATTTTCTGCCAGTGAGGTTAATAACTTTTATTTTTAATCCAGTTTGATAATGTGTTCTTTGGGACTCCATACTTTTTGGCAACCTCTTTGTTAGACATCCCTGTCTCTAGGTCTTTTAATGCCTTGCATTTTTCTATTACAGATTTGTTTGTGAGTTTTTGTTTAACGAGCGGCATGTTGTTGCGTTTGACAAAAAGAATAAATTAATATATATTAAAGGAAAACTTTTCAGAAATTCGATTCTTAAAAAAAATCGAATTTAAAAATCAAATAAAAATTTTTTTTTTTTCGAAAATTTGAATTAAAAAAAAATTAAATTTTATTAAAACAATATTGAAAAAAAAAATGTTGAAAAGTTCGAGATAACGAGAGAAAATTGCCCTGTGGACGGAAAATATTGTTCGAGATACCAAAAAGTTCGAGATATTAAGGTTCGAGATATCGAGAGGATTTTAGCTTAAACTAGTACGTTATGTCCATGGGACCGCTAAAAAAGTTCGAGATACTCAAAAGTTTAAGATATCAAGTATTCGAGATATCGAAAGTCGACTGTATTATGTTTTATGCATTAAGTATTATTAGTTTTTATTAAATGTTGATTACCTCCTCCAGTCAAGAAGACTATTACAGTCAAGGAGGCTACTTTGTTGTGATATATATATATATATATATATATATATATATATATATATATATATATATATATATATATATATATATATATATATATATATATATATATATATATATATATATATATATATATATACACGGAAAAAACACAAATAAAAACTCTACGTTGAATTTGTGTTAATAAGTATTTGCGTTAATAAGATATAAAATATTCTAATAATTCTGAACAGGAGTTAATCCACTGGTATTCAGAGTGGTAGCCCTCCTATAAAGATCAACTCAACAGAAGTAATCCACTGTTGTTTGTAGTGGTTGTTTCTCTGTCATTTCATTGGTGGAAATCGAGGATTGAGATATGACTAAACTCACTGACCAACAAAAGAATTGTATAGCTTTGATGATTAACAAAGCATTTGAAGAGCTAAAGGATGACTTTCAAGTGAAACTAAATCAACAAACTAAACTATTTGAAGTGAAATTAAAGGAAAAAGATGCAGCAATAGCTGAACTTAGTGAGAAAGTAAAAAGACTAGAAGAAAACAATGCAAATTTACCACCTTCTAGTTCACCTACTGTTTGTTACAGCCAAATTGCTAAGCAACTAGCCAAACCAGGTTCTGAGCTGTATAATGCTAGCATCAAAGTGTCAAAAAGTCATGAAATATTATCCAGTAAAAAGTCTTAAAATGTTGTAATTGTTGGTTTGCCTAACTCACAAAAAAATATAATCAAGAATCGCAAGACAGATGACGAGAACATGGTCAACGAATTAATACGTTTGCTGAACAGACGAATAATAATAAAATCAACATTCAGATTAAAATCTAAAGTTCCCATTTGTAAACAATGCATCTGAACCGTTAGTTGTCGAATTTGAGAATGAAGTAGCACGAAACGAGATGCTGGCTGCAGCAAGGGAACTGTCAATATTGAGGCCTACAAAAAAGTATATATACGGCCTGACCGCACTCCTGATGAGCAGGCTGAATTTGCACAATTAAATAAAGAGAGAAGGAACGAGGACTTGCAACGCAATAATAACCTAGACCAGTCCTTTCGATTTGTCATTAGAAGCGGAAAATTACTGTGCATTGACGTCACTACAACAAAAGACATTGGCAACCGCAAAGTTCACCCATTTGTCAAAGAGAGCGTTGCCAAGCAGGCCCAGAGGGACTCATATCAGCCAACCTTATAAATCTTACCAAAACCTGAGTAATGTAAAACTTCTTATTTATTTAAAGCAAAATACAAGTACTAACTATAAACCAATTAAATTTTATTATACTAATGCTACCTCCTGTAACTCTAATAAATTATCTGAGCTGTCCACACCTGCTTTGGCATATGAAATTGATGTTATTGCAATTGCAGAAACTTGGTTTAAATTGGATTTGATTAAAATAATTGATGGCTATGAACTGTATCAGGCAGATAGAGATAGAATTGGAGAAGGTGTTCCCATTTATGTAAATAAAAGACTTAAAAATATAGAAATTGTAAATGTGCATCTCAACAACAAAGAGATCGAACAAGTCTGGTGCTCAATAAATTGTAATAATTTTCATTTAACTGTTGGTTGTGTATATAGACCACCAAACTCTACAGCTGGTTACTCAAAATTGATTCTAGATTCAATCAGAACCGCTTTAAAACACAAAAGTGGAAAAAAATACACTGATCTCATAGTGGTCAGAGATTTTAATTTTCCTAATATAGAATGGACAGATGATGGTCCAATAATTTATTCAAATGCAAACTCAATTGAACATGAGTTTATTAAAGTTTTAAATGATTGTTCTCTATACCAAATAGTAAATTTTCCAACATTCAAACAAAATGACTCTGTTTCAGCAGTTAACACCTCTGATCTTGTTTTAGTTTGCAATCCAAATTGCATTGATTTTTTTCAATGTGGTCCACAGTTAAGCCACTATGAAAAGGGACGATACCATTACTCCATCACTTGGCAATATTTTACTAGTCTTAGTAACAATACAGTACTCACAAAAGATAAGTTTTGCTTTAAAAAAGGTAATTTTTTTCAAATGAATAAATACTTAAAACAAGTCAACTGGGTTGAGCATTTTTATAACAAATCAGCCTGTGAATGTTATGAGTTATTTTTGCATACATATAATGAATCTTGTCGATTGTTTATTCCTACTTTGAATAATAAAAAAAAGAATAGTCAACCCTGGTTGGATGCAAAAATTAAAAAAGCAATAAAGATTAAACATTCTATGTTTTATTCAAATTTGCATCGGCAAAGTCAAGAATCTCGAAAGGCTTTTAACAAAATGTGTGCTAATGTTAAAAAGCAAATCAAAAGATCAACTCGAGAATACGAAATGGATTTAGTAAAGAGAGCAAAGCTTGCGCCAAAACTTTTATTCTCATACGCAAATAGAAAACAAAACATTAAAACGCAAATTAGAGCAATCAAGAACAAAAAAGATCAAGTTACAACTGAGATATCATACATTTCAGATATATTAAATAGGCAATTTCAGTCAGTCTTTGTTAATGATAATGACCAACCAATACCCAAATTCTTGCAAAGATGTGAAAACCAGTGCGATTGCAGTAAGTTATCTAATATGATTACCTATGAAAAAGTTCTCAAAATGTTAGAAGGTATGAATGAGTCAAAGGTATGAATGAGTCAAAGATGGGTTTTGATGAAATTAGTTCATTTGTTTTAAAGCATGCTGCAGAAGGTTTTGTGGACCCAGCTGTTCATATTTTCAAATTAAGCTTTGACACTGGATGTGTCCCTTACCACTGGTCTGTTGCAAATGTATCACTAATTTACAAAGGAGGATCAAAACTTGAACCAGAAAACTACAGACCAGTATCCCTAACATCTGTGATTTGTAAAATGTTCGAAAAGCTCATTCGGAACACAATTCTGCAACATTTAGTTTCAAATAGACTTATATGTGAGGAGCAAACTGGTTTTGTTCCAAACAAATCATGCACAACAAATCTTATTGAGACAATTGACACAATTACGTTTGAAACTGCAAAAGGTAAACCGTTATGCGTCATATATCTTGACTTCGCAAAGGCTTTTGATAAAGTAGAACACAAAAGATTATTGACAAAGATTAAAGCGTATGGTATAACTGGTAAAATATATAACTGGATTGAAAGTTTTCTTGCAAATAGGAATCAAAGAGTTGCTATTAGTAATACAGTTTCAGAATGGGTATCAGTTACCAGTGGCGTGCCTCAGGGTTCTATTTTGGGTCCAATGTTGTTTCTGCTATTCATAAATGACCTCCCAGAACTTGTGCTAAACACATTTAAAATGTATGCTGATGATAGCAAAATAATAGCCATAGAAGATTCCATTGATAATCAAGCGGAAATGCAAACCGACCTTGACAACATTGTGAAATGGTGCAACAATTGGGGTATGGAACTAAACTGCAAAAAATGTAAGGTGATGAGATTCGGCAATCAGAAAGTTTTTCGAGGTATTGATAAAACATACACAATGAATATAAATGGAATGATTTATGACCACTCAAACAGTGTATTAGAAAGAGATCTAGGTGTCTTTGTACAACCGGATATGAGGTGGAAGCATCAAACACAAGTATGTGTTAACAAAGCTTCAAAAATACTGGGGTTAATGATAAATGCCTTTGAAAGTAGAGATTGTTATATGTGGAAAATTTTGTATACTACTTATGTGCGACCTCATCTTGAATTTGCGGCTCCAGCATGGAGTCCTCCAAATGTGGCCGAAATCTCAATGCTTGAAAGAGTTCAACGTAGGGCCACAAAAATACCATACTCATACTGAATGCTAAGTTATGAGAAACGGCTAGTTAAAATGGATTTAATTAATTTAAATCTCAGAAGAAAACGAAAAGACCTTATTCATTTATATAAGATATTAAACAAACCAGAATTTGTCAACCTTAATGTCAAACCAGTCTATAAGTCAAGCATTAAATTAGATGGCCCATGTTCTTC